CCATCGGATATCATGAGAACTCACTCACTATCATGAGAACAGCATGGGGGAACTGTCCCCATGATCTAATCACCTCCCATGAGGTCCCTCCCTCAACATATAGGGATTACAACTTGGATTACAATTCAAGATGAGATTTGAGTTGGGACACAGGGCCACGCTATATCAGATGTTCACTGGGGAATGTGCTTGGGGTCGGCATGGAGGGAAAGGACAGAAGTGAAACTGAGTACAGGGAGAAGTTGAGCTGTGATTCAGTCCCAAGAAAGGCTGTAGCCGCACACCACACAGGGAGCTGGGGAGCTGACATGGTCATTCAGATTTTTTTCTGGCAGATTTTTTTTTTATTTTCTGCTGTGTCAATCCCCAAATTGCTGGCAGCTGAGAGTTGTCTTCTGGCAGGTGGAGAAACAAGTCCTTCATTCCTGAAAGGGAGTCTGGGGTATAGGCCAAGGCACCCATGGTGTGTGTGACAATCTAGTACACGATAAGGAAAACTACACACAAATGGATTAGTCAGCAGACAGTTTGGAGAGTGATCTCCAATTAAATCTTCACCTGGTACTACATGTGAAATAAATAAATGCAAGATAAATCATAAAGTTAATTACAAAAAAAAATCTCAAATTATGAATACATATTTTGTCTTCAAAGTGGAGAAGAAATTATAAACAAAAAAGCATGGAAGAAATTACAAAGTAAAAGCAAAGATTTGAATACAAGTAGATGTATTTATTTTTATTTTTATTCTTTGAGACAGTGTCCTGCTCCATCACCCAGGCTGGAGTGCAGTGACGTGATCTCGGCTCACTGCAACCTTGGCTTCCTGGGTTCAAGCATTTCTCCTGCCTCAGTCTCCTATCTGGAATTACAGGCACATACCATCATGCCTGGCTAATATTTTTGTACTTTTAGTAGAGATGGGTTTTACTATGTTGGCGAGGCTGGTTTCAAACTCCTGACCTCAGGTGATATACCTGCCTCAGCCTCCCAAAATGCTGAGATTACAGGCAGGAGCCACCGTGCCTGGCCTAAAAAATTTTAATATTGAAATTATCAGCAAAATTAAAAGACAGAAAACGTGTAGAAAAAAATTTGCAGCATAGACAGCAAAGGATTAATATACATATGTATGTATATGTATATATAGTTCATACAAATCTCATATGAATAGCTCATATAAATAAATAATTCACTGGGAAAGAAAAATTGGCAAAGATTATAAATATAGCAGTCTATAAACATATACAAATTCTCAACCACACAAAATAAACTCAAGAAAACCTCAATAAAACTTTGTTATCACTTTTTTTGCATGTATAAAGTTCCAAACATTTTAAAACATGACAGATTTTAGCCAGTGCAGCGGCTCACTCCTGTAATGCTAGCACTGTGGGAGACTGAAGTGGGTCGATTGCTTGAACTCAGGAGTTGAAGGCCAGCTTGGGCAACATGGCAAAACCCTGTCTCTACAAAAAATGCAAAAATTAGCTGGGCGTGTTGGCAAGTGCCTGTAGTCCCAGCTACTTGGAAGGCGGAGATGAGAGGCTGACTTGAACCCAAGAGGTAGAGGCTGCAGTGAGCCATGATTTTTCTACTGCACTCCAGCCTGGGTGACACAGTGAGACTCTGTCTCGTAAATAAATAAATAAATAAATGACAGCTCTTACTGTTGTGACAGCCAGTAGAAGTATAAATTGTTGCCACTTATCTAGCAAACTATTTGACAATTTATTTAAGAGGCTTAAATATCTTTGTATGCCTTTATCCTGAAATTCATTTCGTAAGGAATCTCTGCTAAGGAAACACTCAGCAATTCAAAGAACTATTTTTGCAAGAGGGTTTTCACTGCTACATTATATAAGATAAGAGAAATACTCTCTCAATAATAAATGCTTAATTATTGTACATGGATATAATTAAATTATGGAGACATTAACATATAACATTAGAAAAACTAAATGACATGAACATGCCTACAAAATTGTTAGAAAATATAAGATATTAAACTATGTACAATGACATCTATCCTCTATCTATCTATCTATCTATCTATCTATCTATCTATCTGTTGAAAGATAAAAATAATAAGCCAAAGCATTAATAGTGCTTATCTCTGGGTGTTACAGTATAGCAAATCTACATTTTCTTTTTTATACTTCTACTATATTTTCTAAATAAATGGTGAGTATATTACCTTTATAATAAAAGAGAAATCAACGTTTATCTAGGCCAGGAGCGGTAGCTCATGCCTATACTCCCAGCATTTTGGTGGGCTGATATGGGAGAATCGTTTGAGGCCAGGAGTTAAAGACCAGTGTGGGCACAAAAGTGAGATTCCCTCCACTGTGAAAAATAAAAATAAAATATCATAAAATAAAACATGCAGAATTTTGACCTATGATCCTTAGACTTTTATTTTATGCAAGCTTTGTATAATACCGTTTTTTGTTTGAGATGGAGTCTCACTCTGTCGCCCAGGCTGGAGTACAGAGGGGTGATCTCGGCTCACTGCAACCTCCACCTCCTGGGTTCAAGCGATTTGCCTGCCTCAGTCTCCTGAGTAGCTGGGATTACGGGTGCCCACCACCACACCTGACTAATTTTTGTATTTTTAGTAGAGGCAGGGCTCTACTATGTTGGCCAGGCTGGTCTCGAATTCTCCTGACCTCCAGTGATCTGCCTGCCTCAGCCTCCCCAAGCTTTGTATAATATCTTGACTCAGCTCAAATTTACATTTAAACTCACCTGAAACACCCATGCCACATGTCTCCACCAACTGATAAGAGAGAATTGAGGATGAGGAGCTTGTTCAAAACCAGGTCCCTAGTGGAGTGGGTAGGGAGCATGGCAGGAACGAGTTCTAGGACAATGGTCACAAAAAGCCCCGAAACATCCTCTGCCCCATTTTCATTCCAGAAGAGCTGGCCAGGCTGCAGAATCAGAGACACATAAGGGCACACAGTGGTTCCCCTACCTGTGGGGTCTAATTCCATGTGGTAAATGTCCAAGGTGGTTTCCTTAGCGCAGAGTCACTTGTAGGGTGAATCCAAGTGACAGCAGAGCCGAGAGGAGGGGCCTTGCTCTTGTCCCTGCTGGCTGAGCCACTGTTGACCCAAGGTACTGTGACCCTTCTTGGTTCTGAGACCCTCAGGCTCCTAAAAATCTCTAGCAATTATCTTTTCTTTTCTGACTGCAGCCTCCACCCCTGTGCCCAGGCATGTCCTAAACATTGGCCATTGTAGTATTAATCACACAAACCAAACAAGTCTAATTTACAAACAAGCCATTGCTTAGTGGAGGAGACTCAGTCAATGTGCACATCCCATCCTCAGTCCCTATTCTTCACAAGTTAACCCAGTTAACTTCTCTATGCCCATCCTGCTAACTAGATAATGGATATTCAGTGAGTGCAGCCCTAACCAAACATTAGGCTGTTAGTCAGACTGGAATGTTCCTTGGTCACATACTTGAACAGTGTTTTCTGTTTGGGGTAATCCACATGATCCATCTCTCATTATCACAGATGACAAAGACCCAACTGTGTTCATCAGCATATGAACATTACTCACACACGCTTATTTCATAAGCAAGAAAACACAGAGAATGGAGGAAAAAAAAAGATTAAAATAAGTGCAGTAAGGAGTGGGAGGGTTGGAGAATGAAACAAATAAGAGATTGTTACAACTGGAAGAGACTTTAAAGGGAAGTCTGTTCTTCCAGACCCATCATTTTATGGTTTCTTTGTTTTTGTAATAAAAAGACAAAGCAAATGGGGCTTGGCCAGAGACCTAGTAAGTGGCAGAGAAGGAACCAGAACTCTTCTGACTCTTCCGGGTTATCTAACTCTTAGTGAGCTGTGCATTAACCACGTTGCCCTTCTAAGTAATGGGAGGAAGAATGGGTACTGGATGAGAGTCAAATTGAGAAGTGAGTTCTTTGACAGAGATGAGATGAAGCCAGGCACTTCGTTCTCAAAATGAACAGGAAACGCCATCATTTCCATTTTCCGATCACTCTTAGAGTCAGTGCAACTCCAAAAGTCAGTGCAGCTCTAACAAGTGGGTGTACCATCTCACTCTTTCCACATCCTCTTGGCCTCCATTTGGACTCCTTGGGGCTGGAGGATGGCCCTCTGTTGATTTATGCCTCACTGAAAACACTTCTTTGCCTCCAGCTTCCAGTTTGTCCCTACAGCTTTCCTGACTCCACAGTGGGCTACCTGGATTTAAGCCCCAGCTTCCCTGAGGTCTGCTGTGATGGAAACTCTCTTGAGCATCATGCAGTCTAAAAGAACCAGTATATGAATCAGTTGATTATCTTCTCCTTTCAGGCAAGCAGTTGATGTCTTAGAACCCTGCTCTTTTTCTAACTAGCATTAGAGGCCTGGTTAGGCAAGAACAGCTCTTTCTTCTATTAAGAGGATATATATTTGGAAGCGTCCAGAGACATTTGAATCAAGTTTCCCTAGCTCCTTCCAAAAAGTGACTAGAATCGCCATTGGGCCCTGAAGCTTTGAGGACCAGGTCTGTTTCTGAAGCATACTTGTAAAAGTGTACAAAGCTTTAGGGCTTGGTCTAGTTTAAATTCGCATCTATTATGTAGCCCCAAGGATCTTGGCTCAGGGGTCACTTTAGGCCTCCTGGTAGCTCTTAGAGTTCCAAGCATATGCCCTGTGGGCTTTCCTAGGCCTTCTCCATATACTGAAATGTCAAAGACAAGAAAGCAAGAGTTTGGCTCGTGTCCTCATTGTCTTTCTTCTGGGGTACTGCTGTCATCTTTTTACTGGTCTTCTTTCCCCAGTGTCATTTAATCAGTGCCTGCAGATGAGTGAATGAATGAACATAATCCCACTCTTTTCTAGTCCATCCTTACACCAGGGGTCCCCAGTCCCCAGGCCATGGACCAGTATCAGTCCATGGCCTGTTAGGAACCAGGCTACGCAGCAGGAAGTGCGAGCTGGGCAATCAAGCAAAGTTTCATCTGTATTTACAGCTGCTCCTCATCGCTGGCGTTACCACTTAAGCTCCACCTCCTGTCAGATCAGTGGTGGCATTGGATTCTAATAGAAGCCTGAACCCTATAGTGAACTGTGCACGCAAGGGATCTAGGTTGTATGTTCCTTATGAGAATCTAATGCCTGATGATCTGTCGCTGTCTCCCATCACCCCCAGATGGGACCATCTAGTGCAGAAAAACAAGCTCGGGGCTCCCACTGATTCTATATTATGGTAAGCTGCATAATTATTATATATTATAATGTAATAATAGAGATAAAGTGTACAATAAATGTAGTGCACTTCATCTCCCCAGCCCAGACCTTGGAAAAATTTTCTTCCACAAAACCTGTCCCTGCTGCCAAAAATGTTGGGGACCGCTGCTTTACACTGTTGTTAAAGAAGCAGCTTTAAAGGGCAAAAATCAAATCAAGTTGTTCCCTTTCCATAGCTCTTCAGTGCCTAGGGCACAGCAGCCTAGAACAGCATCTGGAACATTTGGGGTTCCCTGTCTTCTCACCTTCTCTCCTGTGTCTGCCTTTACATTGTGACCACTAGCGTAATCCAAACTCTCTGATTTTGTTCTTTTAGCTCCCTCCACCTGGAGAAACTTCCCATTTTCCGATGGGAGACATCTTCATGATTGTTTCGGGTCCAGATAAAGTTTCACATCTTGAGAAGGGAATGCTATAGAGTCCAATACCCCTGGGCCTGAGCACTGCCCCGTCATGTGCTAACTCTGTGGACACAAGGGAATGTATTACTCTCTTCATGCCCAACTTTTCTTAGCTTTATATTGTAGAAAATAATATCTACCTCTTAAGATTAATGAAAGGATTATTTAAAACTGAACTTAGGCACCTGAACATTTCAATGAGATTGAGCATTCAGCATTTCGTGAATTGGGTAGCATTAGCCCACAAGCAGTTTGGCACTCCGCGGAAGGGGTGTGAAGGGGATACTTTTATAAGGTGTTTGTGAAGGAAAGACAGAGGAAACATTTGATTGGTTAAAATGGGAAGTCCCTAGTTAGAGATTAGTTGGTGGTTCCTGATTGGTAAAGTCCCTAGTTAAAGACTAGTTGGTGGTTTCTCACAGGTTAAGCTTAAGCTTCGTTTCACTGTTTACACTGAGTTGAGCTTTAGTTTACTTAGGAAGAGACCCAAGGTGCTGGGAGTTTCTGCAGTCTAGTGGCCTCACAATGAAGTATTTTCATAGGATAAATACATTTGTGTATGTAAAGCAACTAGCTTTGTTCTTGGCAAGATAGGTCAATAAGCCATTTAATTATTTTCCCAATAAGCCACAGTGTTCTTTTTCTTCCTTTTTATTCTTTGAAGGCCTTTTCAAACTCTCAGGGGGGTTTCCCTGTGCTCTGTGCTGCCATTCTCCAAGCAGCTGTTCCTCTTGCTAGATGGTAAGTGCTTCACAGACCCGGACCTTGTCTTATCTTTTGTATTCCCAGTTCTAGCTCAGCCTCTAGCCCAAGGCAAGTAAGAACTTCAGAAACAAAAACTGAACTAGTGAATAGCTGATGCATGGGAGCCTCTCCAAGGGAGGTGGAAAAGACAGTCCAGGTGGAGTTGTGATCCTTAGTAGGAACCAAGAGCTATTTTCCATTTACTTCCAAAAGACTTCACTACTCAGGACTGTAGAACCTTGGGGTGTCGAAGAGCTGGAAGCAGAGTCAGAGACAATCAGAGCTTTAAACTCAGAGTGGGGCAGGCTCAGGCCCAAGACCTCACAGTGGTAGCAGATATTGCCAGGCCGAGCCTGCTTATATTCAGACTCCCGGGCCCTGACTCTCCTGTACCTGCTTTCTGCTTACCCTACATGGGGGAGATGAGATGTGACCCTGGAAGGAATGGTTAAAAAATTTTTATTTTTCCAAATGTTTCCAATCTGCAAGCCTCCAGATGGGTCAGGACAGGATCTTGCCCTGCCTAACTAGCTGGACAGAATCATTTTATAATGGTTGCGAGAAGGTGGAGAAAGAATGCACATCTCTAGATTCCATGTTTGTATGATCACATAGCTCCCCACCTCCAAGTGCTTCTCAGACGCTAAGTTCTCTGCCCTCAGAAGCACCCTTCTAAGAACCGGTTATCTGTCCTTCTTTTAACAAGAGGAAACCCAAGTCCCAGAGAAGTTAAACCATTTCCCTAGATGTCTCTGTGAGTCAGTAGGGAGGCTTTAAATAGAAGCCATCATTCCTTCCACACCCACTTCCTACCCATTAGACCACACTCTCTTTAGAGCATAGGAATGCAAGCCCTGTACATACCTTCTAAGGACAAAATATGCCCCTTAGGATTAGCTACAGGATTCCAGAATGAAAGGCATGAATAAGGGAGGAAGGGGAGTGAGAACCTGGAAGATGAAAGTGACTTTTTTCCCCTTCTCTACTTAAACTATATGTTTATAGGGAGCCTAAGTGTCAGGGGAAGGTGAGAGAATCCTGAGATTGTATATTTAAGTGTTTTCCCACATCAGCTAAGGCCACACATTCACAGTCACCATATGACATTGGTATTGCCTGTATAACTAGTAATTGTTGATAAGGTGAACTTGATGTTTCTGATCATATTGAATACGTTCAGAAAGACTGTCCTGTTTAATAACAGTACTGGAAGGTTATTATCAACGTATTTTTACAGCTGAGAAAGCCAAGCCTCTCAGGGGGCAAATAAATTGCTTGGATCACTCAGCTGGTCAGCAGCTAAACTAGAAATGAAAGTTGGCAAAGGTTGGCCCCATGTCCATTCTTTCCTCACCATCAGTGGTTCTCAAAGTGTTGTCTCTGGACCAGAAGCCTTTTTATCACCTGGGAATTTCTTAGAAAAATAAATTCTTGCACTCTAACTCAGATATAAAAATAGAACCTTGGGGTCCAGCGATGAGTTTTAACAAGCCTTCCAAAAGATTCTGGTGTAAGCTTAAGTTGGAGAAGCACTGCTCTCCACCACGGTGTCTTGGAAAGCCGGAACGTCAGAATGGAGATATGGATGAAGGAAGGAGGCAGGAAGAAAGGGCAAGGAACAGCCTTGGCGGAACAGTGTGTCACCAGCACAGAGAGGGCAGGCGCAGATGAGCCCTTCCCTACCGTACTATGAGAAACACTAGTAACTAAAGAGCATCACAGTGAAGGTGCAGTGGAGGGCCCCTGAGGGAGCCCTGCTGAGGGAGCATTAAAATAGAGCAGTGGCAAAAACCATTTCCTTAATATTATGCTGATGAACCCTGCAAATATCATAGAGGCTAATAGGAAGCCGATAAAGGGGCAAGAAAATGAATGAAAAACAGAGGGCAGATTAAATCAAGGCAAGGAAAGAAGAAAAAAAAAGAGGGTATTGAGAGCAGGGAAATATTAATGGGTAACATGGAAGTTTCTTGTGGATTGAAAGCTCCTGCACTGCATGGAAGAGTTCTGGATTATTTAACTTTCTGCTTCTAAACAAACTGGGGGGAGATAGAGACGGCCTTGCCGATATTCTTTTACTGGTTCTCTCTGCTGCATGGGGAGTCTCATGAATCAAAGTCTCAAAAAATTGAATGTTTTCCAAGAGCTACATGCACACTTCTCGATAGAATTATTGAATTAGAACCTTTGTGTTTTAGGAACTGTAGAGGAAATGTCAACTCTGTTTAGTTTAGAAAAGCTTTCAAAGTGATTCAACACCATCTTTCACTGTCACTACAGACAAATCCACACCTTAGACACACACATAACTACTATTTTTATCTTTAAAAACTAAACCACAACTAGAAGTTCCCTCACAAAACCCAAGAAGACCTGTCACCCTTTAATTTTTACTTCTGTTGAATCCCAGAGCTGTGAGGGTGAGAGGGAAGAGAAGCACCACCATGCACCCTGGTGCTGAGCACCTGCAGACCCGGTTCTCCACAGATACCCGGGGCTTGCCCATCCTCCTTGGTCTGGAGGTGCTGTCTGGTGCTTTGCAGCCTCCCAGGCTTCTTTCTACAATTGTTTTGAAACTCAGAAATTTTTCACCAAAATTGGCTGGACCAAACTTTGAATTTTTTTATTTTTATTTTTGAAGGGCTTTTCGGTGTTTTGTCCTGGGTTTCCGAGCTGGGGTGTGTGTGTGTGTGTAAACGTCTCTCAGAGAGCCCCTCCCCACACTCATCTGTTCATTGTCACAGTGACGGTAGAATCTATGCTCTCTAGGGGTAGTATTGCCAGATGAGGTGGAGGGCAGGTGATAGGTGCTTAGAATGGGCTTCTCTGTTACCAAAAGCAAGATCTCTAAACCTGTTTTTTTCCTCCACTTTCCCTTTAACTTTTCCTGTTACTTCTAGGATAAAGAGTAGAATTAGATTGTAATAACCAAGATTGTTAAAAGGTGGATCTTCTAGCTAACAGCTTTTGAGTACATGCTACTACGTGATGAAAACCTTGGTGAGCACATTGTACACATTCTTTCACTGAAATTTTTCATTGATCACCATCTGAGATAGGGGCTGTTATCCCATTGTACAGGGGAGAAAACTGAGGCTGTGTACATTAATTACCAACAGTCATACATCCAATAGATTGTGAAGTGTAGATTTGAACCCAATCTAGGCCTACTGGCAGCTTAGGCACTTTTTAACTAGCCTGATGCAATGATATAGTTTATAATTTCCAGGGCATTTTCTAATGCATTGTCTTTTGGGGTTCTGAGGTAGTTTCTGACCCCGAAATAGGCTTTTATTTTGCTGATGAAGGGAAGATAGGAAGAAGGGAAAGAAATCAATGTTTACTGAGCCTGGGTCAGAGGATTTCATTTAAGTCTGTTCATTTAATTATCATGATAATCCATTAAATTGACTAATATTATTTCTGTTTTTACAAAACACGATACAGAATTTCAGGGAAGGTAAAGTCTTAGCTTAAGTTTTCAAGGCCAATCTGTGGCAGTTCATCCTCAAACCCAGATGTGCTTCATCCAAAGCCTAGCAGGCCATGCTTGCTTTCATGTGATAGCGATTTTTAGGTAAGCACCTGACAGTGATCATTTCCCTCTTTGCTGTGTCATTTCCTGTGGTCCCACACACTTCTTTGGGTTTTTATAGGATGTAAATTCCTGGACCTAAGGAACTAAAATGTATGCCACCGCAAAGTAAACAAAAAGCATTGTATTTTTGTTTTAAACTGTGACGATACCGCCATGTATCCACAAGAAACACTTCTGTGGGCCTCGGTAAAAGTCCAGAGGATGGCTCAGGAGTCAGCTCGCATTAATATCCCTTTTTTATGAAGACAAAAATGAAAATCAAATCTGAGCAGTCTCATCTGGTATGTTTTCTTCTTCTCTAAATATTTGAAATTAGAAAGTTTCAAACTCCTTTAATTCATGATGCTTTGGTCTCTCTTTCCCTCACACACACATACACACACACTCCTACACCCAGGGCCCTACAAAGCAAGGTCATCTCAATGCAAATCCATACTGTCTTTAGAGATCCAATGTGACAGATGTGATGAGTGACTCAGACCCATGAATCACTTATCTCAGCTCATTGAGGAATGGCATGACACAGCCCACACGACAGGGCCCATTTGTTCTTTTTGGTAAATCCCTAAAATTATGAGCAGCTGCTTTATTCCTTACATGTTCAATCATGATAATAGGAAGAAAAAAAAAGTGACCAGTGTGTATTTTGGCTGGTAGTTAAGTAGTTCATCGTAGTCCTATTCCTAGTAGAAAGTGGCACTCATACTTAGCCCTCCGTCCACTCTAAGAACGCATCTTACTTTATGGGTTGAGGGCTTGTTCCTCCTCAACCCCTACCTTTCCCTTGGGCAACATCAATGTCTGTGTGCATAACTCATCTAAGACTGGCTCTCACAGGTGTATCAAATCCTCAACTCTGAAGTTCTTCAGCTCCATTTGTACCAGATAAGCAAACCCATAGCTATACCCTCAAATCTGTCATCAACCACAATGACTTAAAAGTGTTTGACAATTTTCTGTCCATACAGCTCTCACATTCCATTATTTCCTACAATCATTATTTGATTGAATTGAGACATCTATTTTCTTTTTATCTGAAGTGATAATGTTAAAACTAAATATAAAACTATAGACATATAGTAAAGTTTAACAAAAACCGCATAAAAAGATGCTCAGTATCACTAAGCATTAGGAAAATGCAAATCAAAACCACAGTGAGATACTGCTTCTACCCATATAGGATTACTACTAACAGAACAAAACAAAAAACAGAAACAGAAAATAACAAGTGGCAGCAGGGATGTAGGAAAGTTGGAACCCTTGTGCACTGTTAGTGGAAATGTAAAATGGCACAGCTTCTGCAGAAAAGAGTATGGCCATTCCCCCAAACATTAAATGTTCAATTACTATATAATTTTGCAGTTCCACTTCTGTTTATATACCCAAAATAATCGAAAGTAGGGTCTCAAAGAGATTTGTTTTTATTTTTTGAAAAAGGGTCTCCCTCTGTCACCCAGACTGGAATGCAGTGGTGTGACCTCTTGGGGTCAACTATCCTCCCACGTCAGACTCCCTAGTAATTGGGACATGCCAACGTGCCCAGCTAATTTTTTTTTTTTTTTTGAGATAGGATCTCAGTTTGTTGCCTAGCCTGGTCTTGAACTCCTGGGCTCAAGGAACCCTTCTACCTCAGCCTCCCAAATTGCTAAGATTACAGGTGTGAGCCACTGCACCTGGCTCAAAGAGGTTTGTACACCCATGTTCATAGCAGGATTATTAACAATAGTCAAAAGATGGAAGCAACACGAATATCCAGTGAGGATGAATGGATAAACAAAATGTGTTCTATGCACACAGATAGAATATTATTCAGCCTTAAAAAGGAAGAAAATTCTGACACATGCTACAACATGGATGGACCTTGAGGACATTGTGCTTAGTGATATATATGTCAGTTACAAAAAGACAAAAGTTGTGTGAATCAGCTTATATGAGGTACCTAGAGTAGTCAAATTCATAGAAACAGAAACTAGAATGGTGGTTGCCAGAGGCTCAGAGAATGGAAATTGTTATTTCCTTGGTATGGAGTTTCAGATTTGCAACATGAAGAAGTTCTGGAGCTTGGTTGCTCAACAATGTAAATATACTTAACAGTATTGAAGTGTACACTTAAAAGCAGTTAAGATGGTAAATCTTGTTATGTGTATTTTACCACAATTAAAAAAATAAAAATACAATATTATAGTGTGGCGAGAGGAAGGAAAAATGATACTTAATGTTAGCAGAGGGTTTTGGATGAAGGGATTGAAGGCTCATTGATAACCCAGGGCTCTGTTTTATGAAACCATCACGTGGTGGTAGGAATTTTAGAAGAAATGTCTCTAAACTTCATTCAAATCTTTTAAGGTAGGTATTATTTTACAAGATGGGATGAGTGACACTCAGACTAAATCACTTACCTAGGACCCACAGTTGGCCAATGTTAACACCAGGCTTTGGGCTCTATAGCGTAGGGTGTCTGAGGCACCATGCTGTTTCTATTGAAGGAAAAAGGGGACTGAAACCTGAGCTCAGGAAGTCTGCAAAACGCTATAGGCACAGGAGGGAGACAAAAGTCAGAAGATATGTAGCAGAAAAGTGGTTAGGAAGAGAGAGTCTGGGGAGCAGAAAAGTGCAAGGTAGTGGGAGTCTGAGAAAGAATTCTGAGGAAGCAATTTTGGTCCTTAAAGTATCTGCCTATTTTTGTATAATTTCTTATCATACCCCCTTTGTACTTAATTACTCCAATTTTGTTTAGAAAAGCAGGCTTGATGAGCCTCGTTTGCTTTAATTCTGCTTGTACTGTGTTGACCGTTTTGAAGTCATGTTTTAAAAAAATCACTCGATGCTGCTTTCTGTTTAATTCTTTATTTAATTGTTCGACCCCACTGCAAATACTCACTGTAGGTGTCATGAAAAATATGTTCTTACTGAATTATCTTCTGCAATAACCTAGAAAAAACAAATTTACCCGAGTTGGATTCTGCACCTCCCTTTCCTGTGACCCGCCCTTCTATTCCCCACTAAGTGTGTGTGCATATTCTCAACCACCCACACCCCACACCACACACACACACCATGAGATATCAGATGTCTCCATGTCTATTACTCAGCACTAACAGACGTAAATTCTTCCAAACCCTTGGCTTTTATTTAGAGATTTCCATCGTTACATACTAGATTATTGAATCTAAGGTGCCATCGTTATCAAAGGTACTAGTAAAAATGAAAAGATGCTGCCAATTGTAATTATGACACCATCAAGAGATGTTAACATACAAGAAACTTTGTATGTAAAGTCAGTGAAATATGCTGTGTAAAACTTTAATAAAAAATATATTAAGGTACGTTCCCCAAGTGCTTAATATAGATTCAGAGATGGACTACAGGATCCAACACTGTGTTTTGCATTCAAAGAGAGGAGCTCCAGTTTTGCTTTATGCCACAAACCACCGTCGCTCTGCTCTCCTCTCCTCCCCAACCAATGCTTCCTGGCCCTCTGCAACGACTGGGAGAGGCTAGCTCCAAGTGGGAGAGGACCTACAGGGTGTCAATGAAAAGAGTAGAACTCTGTAAAATATTCGAAGAGATTTATTCTGAGCCAAATATGAGTAATTAATCATGGCTCGTGACAGCCCTCATGAGGTCCTAAGAACATGTGCCCAAGATGGTAAGGGTGCAGCTTGGTTTTACACATTTTAGAGAGGCATAAGACACCAATTAAATACATTTCAAATATACACTGGCTTGGTCCATAAAGGTGGAACAACTCAAAGCCAGGGGGCTTCCAGGCTATAGGTGAATTTGAACATTTTTTGATGGACAATTGACTGAGTTTGTCTAAAGACCTGGAATAGACAGAAAGGGAATGTTCAGGTTAAGATAAAGATTGTGGAGAACAAAGTCCTTTTGAAGTCTTATACTGCCTGCTGTTAGAGATACTAGGTGACAAATGTTTCCTGTTCAGATCTTAGTTAATCTCTTTAGGATTAGGAGGGTCTGGAAGGAAAAGACCTATCTATGTTAACAGACATTCTTTACAGACGCCAATTTTCCCCCACAAAGGACAGCTTTGCAGGAACATTTCAAAATATGGCAAATGATTTTGATTTTCTTATTTATTTCATAATGTTATGCCAGAGCCGGGTTGGAAAGTAAATCATGATATATAGGGTTAAATAAAACCCATCTGATGAGAATTTATGATTGGGCATGACTCCCTAGACTCCTTAGATAGGAATTTGGGCAAGATAAAAAAAAAAAAATCAGAGTTTTGTCCTCAAGGGCTAGAGACCACTTACCTTACTCTCACCATCCTGGTTTAGGTCAGTGATTTCCATCTACCCACGTGGATTTCCAGAAACATTTACTTAATGCTTCCATAGCATCCTGAACATTTTAGCTATTTTCCTGCCTGCTCATAAACATTTCTGACTCCCTCATCCATGTTAATTTATTTCTCACTTAAGAAGATAAATTTTACTTTAGATTCAGATGTTTAATGGAGGCACAGAGCCCTGATACTCCCATTATAAGACTTTTCTCATTTACAAACGTTCTCATTTACAAGTTTCATTTATAAATTACAAGATTTTATTGATAAATTTCCTCTTTTATAGGTTGCCTCATTGCAAAATAAGTTTAATAATAAACAATAATAACAATTCACATTGTAATTATGAGCATTCAATGAAATAGAAATGAGTGCTATAAAGTGCTCAGCACAGTGCTGGGTGCACATGTCTGACACTCAATTACTGGTAGATATGATTAATAATATTGTTACTCTGAAACAAACAGCACTGAACAGAAAACTGGGGAAACATTTGTAGGGCATTCATGCTTGCAATATCTCCTTGACTTGTGTAAAATATGAAGATGTTTCTCTGTGTTCCTGCACTGGTGGGGTATCATTTTCTGTGCCCCAATAGGAATATTGCCTATTTCTCCGTGTTGTCAAGACTTTAAAAGATAATGTAGACAAAGATCCTGGTAAAGAATAGATGCTCAGAACACATTATTTTATCTGTACTTCCTCATTGGATTTACCTTTTGAGCTGCCTGCTCAAATCATGGTATTGAAAAAGAGTCAAACTCTGTAAAATATTCGAAGAGCTTTATTCTGAGCCAAATATGAGTGACCATGGCCCATGACACAGCCCTAAGAGATCTTGAGAACCTGTGCCAAATGCAGTTAGGCTACAGCTTGGTGCTATACATTTTAGGGAGACACAAGATGTCAATCAGTACTTTTAAGATGACATTGGTTTCGTCTGGAAAGGCGGAGAGATTGAAGGTGGGGAGGCTTCCAGGTCATAGGTGGATTCAAAGATATTCTGATTGGCGATTGGTTGAGTTTATCTAAAGACCTGGAATCAACAGAAAGGGGTGACTGAGTTAAGATTAAGGGGTTGAGGATACCAAGGTTTTTATTATGCAGATGACGCCTCTACGTAACAGGCTTCAGAGTTAATAGATAGCAAATGTTTCTTATAAGACTTAAAAAGGTGCCAGATGTTTAATTCACTACTGGATTAGGAAAAAGACCTGGAAAGAGAAGGGGATTCTCTATAAAATATAGATCTTCCTCCCAAGAGACAACTTTGTAGGGCAATTTCAAAATATGTCAAAGGAATATATTTTGGGGTAAAATGCTTCTATTTATTTCAGGGCCTGTCATGTTGATATCTTACTGCTACAAAGAGTCTGTTTTGTCAGTCTTAAGGTTGCTATTCGAATGTTAATTCTGGTTGGCTGTGCCTGAATTCCATAGGAGGAGAATGTAATGAGGCATGTCTGACCACCTATTCCCATCATGGCCTGAACTAGTGTTTCAGGTTTACTTTAGAATGCCCTTGGCTGAGAGGAGGGGTTCATTCAGTTGGTTGAGGGACTTAGAATTTTATTTTTGGTTTAATGATGGCAATTTGATTTCTACTTCCTAATTCGTTCTCTGAGATAGGGTTTCCACTTTGACTTTTTAATAAGATTCATTTAGTAGTCTCTGATTTGGTTGGAGACATTTCTTTCATTTTAGTTCTCAGGAGCATTCTTTCTGGATTATTAGGTATCTCAAATGGCTTAAGATGTCAGGTTTAGGCCACAGGAATGTACTCTCTGTTTTTTGGTGTGTTTTTTTTTTTTGTCGGAAAGTGGCATGATGTGTGTTTGCATGTCAGCAAACTCTCCTTATTATTAAAAAGTACCCTCTGTCCTTTAGTATTTGACTGTCACAAACAAGGAGACCTTTCGCCAGGAGAATAAAGATGACAAACGATGGGGCTCAGGGCATACCACCCCAAAACATGCCTTTTTGGCCTAAGGATTATTTTGAGCTATTTGAGGAAATAGCAGGCACAGGGAAGCTTTGCAAACAAATTAGCTTTGAAAACAGTTACCATTTCATAAGATAAATTTATATCTGTAAAGAAAACCTCCACTGTAAGGGCGTTTTCCTTTCTGCATCAGAAAGAAAAGAAGAACTAATTCCCTAGAGAAGGCATCAACTTAAATCTACTTATCAAATACTATGCTTCTTTAACGGTGCCTTTCCTGGCCAACTTTTCTTAATTCCCTCATTCCCCTCAGCCTTGTCTCTTTGTTTCAGAGAAGGATAGTACTTAAGGCTGAGGTCTAGGATAATCCTTTGAGATCTGCTGCAGAGATTTACTCATTTTTCTGGGTTATCTCCCATAGGTATACATTTTATCAGACTTCTGTTTGTTTTTCTCTTGTTAATTTGTCATTTTTGCAGAGAAACTCAGCTAAAACTCATGGAAGGTGAAAAAGAGAAAATTTATTGTTTTCTCCCCTACACTTTGTGGAGCTTGGGCTCTGACGGCTGCTCTGGCTTAATTGGTCAGGTGTTTGGGTGCTGGCATCAGACTGTCAGAGTTCAAATCCTTACCCTTCTTGCTCTGCAAGCTTGGGAGAATGATCTCACCAACCTTGCAGAAGTACTTCCCTTCAAAGATGTAGATGGTAGTCCCTTTATTACAGGACCTTGTATGTATTAAATGAGTTACTGGGTGAAAAGTGTCAAGAACAGTGCCTGTCCCAGAGTAACTGCTGTTATTGCAAGTAAAGAATCAAAACAATGCTAAATTCACAGTCAGCCTGTGAAAAATGTCAAAAGGAGTGCACATGAATGGTCAATGAACCAAAGACCTTGGATGTGATAAAGATGTGAGCTTTGTAACGGTGTCTTGTTTCCCTAATGTTAAGTAAAAATTATGAAAGGCTATTGTTTTGGATTAGGTTCCTGTATTAGGCCTCAACAGACCAGACTATAAATCAAAATGGAGTCACCCATACCAAAGTTCCATATCACCAAACTGAAACTAAGTTGTTATTTGATCTTTCCTAAAATCAGGACAGAGTGATAACAGCCAATGTTCCAAGCAGACTAGTTTCAGTCTTGAATCAGCAGGATAGCGAAGTTCTCTCTTTTTTTAATCCTTACAACAAAAATAGCCTGAAGTAACTTGATGCTAACCAATCTGTTATTTCTCTATTGTTCTGTTTCCTTGTTCTTACCTTGTAAGGGAAGTAACTTTCAAATGACCAGTCCACATTTTGTTCTTTATTTTCCGGTTTCTTCAGCCCCCTCTGTCTATAAAATCTCCTCTGCTCAACTCTTTGGGACACTTATGCTATTTTGTGAAATGAGACATTGTTCATTTCTAGAATTGCAATAAAGCCAGTAAAGATCATCAAACTAAACATGTAGTTTTGTCCTTTGTCTAATCTGGTGACCACAAAGGGAACTGAGGAGACTACTGAAAACCCTGAGACCTTTTGAGAAACATAGGAAAGATGCCATAATCCCTTTTGGAGGGGTGGGAGTGAAGGGGTTCCTCTCTTTCTCATGGAGCTCCAAGATTCATAAGTTCCTCTCAGGTTGGAGTTCTGTTGTCTTTTGCATTTGACCTCCTCGATATCTTTGGCCTTTGGGGTACAAAGGGTTAGTTTATCTAGTGAAAGAGCACTTGACTGTGGGTTATCAGGGGTTACTTTGTGTTGCGGCAGGGCACATGACCTTTCTGTTTGTGGTAACTAATGAGTCACTGGCAAAAAAAAAAGCTGCAGTTTTCAAGGTAACTCATGGCAATTACAGAAAGTAGCTGTTACTGCAGAGGGGCTCTTTATTTTTTCTCGTCTTATATGCTGAGGTCTTATGGCCAAAACCAACTCAGCTCTAAGAGACTCAAGATCCTCCAGAAAAATGGGATCCTTAATTTATAAATACCTGAATACTTTGCCTTCTGTTGTACTTGCCTTTTTCATGTGTAAGAACTATGGCCTTGGAAGCTGTAAATATTTACAAAAGTGGCAAAATCTTACTAAAGATAATTCAGAAGTACAGGGCCCTGTAATATGGAACATTCCAGAGGAATAAGCCTGTTCATTTAACAAATATACTTGAATCCCAAGTCTCTCAAATAAGCAGAGAGAATGTCATTCTAATTATTAATAGCATTCAGAAACCTCAAAGAGACAGGATTCTAAAACTGCTTTTTCTTTTTTAATTAATTGTGAAGAGCTAATAAAAAACTAACAAGGCTGTACACAGTGGCTCATGCCTGTAATCCCCACACTTTGGGAAGCCAAAGCAGGTGGATCATGAGGTCAGGAGTTCGAGACCAACCTGGCCAATATGGTGACACTCTGTTGCTACTAAAAATACAAAAATTAGCCAGGCGTGCTGGCGTGTGCCTGTAGCCCCAGCTATTCGGGAGGCTGAGGCAAGAGAATTGCTTGAACCCAGGAGGCGGAGGTTGTGATGAGCCAAGATCACGCTGCTGCACTCCTGTCTGGGTGAAAGAGTGAGGTTCTGTCTTAAAAAAAAAAAAAACCAAACTAAAAATGCAAGATGTCATCCACATCAAGGACAATAAAAGTGACATGATTTCTACTGTTCCACTCTATCCCACTTTGTCTGAGTATTCAGTCTATTAACTCCCAGTCTGACTTGCCTTTCTTCTCTGAAAACAAAACAAAACAAAACAAAACAAAATGTTAGGCAATTTGTGTACAGCCACTCAAAATTTCAGGAAATAATAATCCCAGAGTGACTTAACACTGCCTAGATAATCATAGAACTCAGGGCCATAGTTAAAAATTTTGCTAAAGCTAAGGAAGGCCTTTAAAAGATTTTTGAAGAATTTAGGATCTTAACTGAAATTTTTGAACCCAAGATATCTGATCTTTACCAACTAATACACATACTGGCGAAAACTGGGGAAGCCCAGAAATGGATAAAAGAGGCAGAACGGTATTTCTGGACAAGCTTCCACCTGGTCCATGTATAGGCCTGGCAAAGCCTGAAAAATCACTATTGACCTTTTGAAAGCCATTTCCAATGTCTTACTTTTGTCCCCATGCTTTTTAACTCTTTGTTGTTTCTGTTTATATCTTGTCGTCCTGACTATGTCTTGACAAAATGTACTGGTGCAAAGTGACCAGTGATTCTGTTTTAATCAAGTGTTTTTAACCTTTGATATTTTTAACAAACTTCCCAAAATCAAATCTAAAATTTAAGTATTTTTAACATCAAATTTACTTTTGGACATTCTAGA